TTTCGTAATTAAATTTCCGTTATCATCTTTTATTGGTTTCATCTGTGTTGGTCTCTTCCCTGATAGCAACCTGGTTATTTGATACAATGTCGTCAGGTCTCTCTTACCTACAGCCTGTTCTGCTTCACTTGCCAGTGTTTCGTAGAAGTGTCTTTTGTCGTTGCGTGCACTCTTCTTCACTTCTTTGTCCAGTGTTTTATACATTGTGCTCAGTTCCTCTTGTCGTTGAGCATCCTTGCACTGGTTTATCTTCTGCTTCACCATCCTCCTCTCCTCTATCAGCTTCCAGGTATCCGTCGAGATCCATTCCTTGTCTTCTTTCTTCTTCCTTCCTAATACTGTTGTGCAGGTTTCTTTCCACATAGCTTTCAAAGACTTCCAGTGTTCTTCCACACAGGTTTCTTCAGGGATGTCCCTCGATGTCTCCCATTTTGTCTTGATGGCTGCCTTGAAGATCTCCTTTGTGGTTTCATCCTTCAGTTTCCGAGTGTTGTACTTGAATTGAGGTCTATCACCAGCTTCCTTGAAGGCTTTTAACTTGATTTGGAAGGTTCCTTGCACTAGATAGTGGTGTGAACCTACATCTGCTCCTCTTCTTGACCTTGTGTCAAGTAGACTGCGTCCCCACTTTCTTGAGATTGAGATAAAGTCGATTTGATTTTTAGTGTGTCCTGGTGTCTGGTGAAATCCATGTCGCTTTGTGGATATCTTTGTGCCTGAACACACTGCCTCCAATCACCAAATCGTTGAATGCACAGAATTCTGCAAACAATTCTCCATTCTCGTTCATCACCTCACCTAGCGCCTCTCGACCCATGGTTAGTTCTCTTCCTGTGTTGTCCCCTCCCAGTTTGGCATTCATGTCGCCCATTAGAATTTTGATATCGCCAACTGGCGTCTTGTCCAGTGTTGATTGAAGTTGTCTGTAGAATTCCTCCTTTTTCTCTTGCTCTGCATTATTTGTAGGTGCATAACATTGTATGATTGTGACCTTTCTTCCTTTTGAGTTGAATCTTGCTGTCATGATCCTGGAGGATATTGGTTCCCACTGCATGAGAGCCTTCGATGCTCTTGAGGACATCATGATAGCCACTCCCTCAGTGTGCTCGTGGTTGTCGTCTGGGTGCCCGGAGTAGATTATTGATTCTCCAGTTGACAGTTTGGAGAGTCCACTCCCATTCCATCTGCTTTCGCAAATTCCAAGCACTTCGATGTTATACCTTCTCATCTCATTTGCAATCTGGGCTGCCTTACTGGGTTCAAACATCGTGCGGACATTCCATGTCCCCACGTTTACTTTCGCTTTCATCGAGAGAAGACACATCGGCCAATTGGCTTCCCGAAGGCTTTCACCAACTGGAGTCATTTCGCCTCTCTGATTCCAGCGGGGAATAAGTTTGTTTTCATTTTTTATATTTTGTTTGTGCTTTGAAGTTTCTTTAGCGGTTAGATTTGTTTTACGGGGTAGGGTTGCTAGCCCTATGCCCAACCTTCCCTCTTTACCCGGGCTTAGGACCGGCTAGTAACTAGTAAACTAGTTAACCAGGCGAGGTTCACACTTCATGTATAATATTCCTAATCACTCTTTATAAGTAACTGATATAATGTTTCACGTAAGACAGAATACAGTGTATTCTTTATATGACAAGTTAAAAACTCAGAATATTTTGCACACTTTTAATGTTTGTCAACTGCAATGTGATCTGATCTCCACTTTCTCCCACAGCACACATCTAAAGTACTTATGGTGTAAGATAATTTGAAACACTAGTGGCTTTGCCTATCTGATTAGTCATATTAACCTTAATGGTCCATGCAGTTGATAAATAGTTGTAAGCACAACAGTTTCGACTTGCATACACTCGCTCACAACATTTGTATTATAAAGGTGATATCTGTTAATCCCTTTTAAGAACTGACTAAACGGGACACCAGTATGGTTTATGAAGAACGCACTTATTGATGCATTCGGACCATTGTTCCTAACTTGTAAAATTACTTGTATGTTCTTGGTTAAGAGTTGTAAATTTATTTCTCCTGATATAGGTATCGTATTTATTTGCATGATCAACTACTTGAGTCTAATGATGTAGTTAGAAAGCTACTCAATATCATCAATGTATGACTTGTGTGGTGAACCTTGACTAATTGGATTTGCTATGTGGCACCTGGAATAATATGGAGCAACAGTTTGAAATTCTGTGTGACATGATTTAACGTTGATTATGACAATATAGATTTCTAAATATGTATAGTAATGATGGGCAGTGGCTAGCAGTGGAATCCAGGATGTGCATTTCGTCCTATTTGGGACTCGTCAACTGGATGCACCTGCCTACCAGTGAGTGATGTTGTCCCCACCGGGGCTCTGACTCTGGAGCAATCGCTTCAAATGTCAGGGCGTGGTCCACTACACCACCGAGCCACGATAGCCACCTCTTGTGCGACGGGTATAGGTTTAGTGTTATTGCTTGTATGACACCGTCGTTGATTTGACTGAATTGATCAGTCTCCGTTGGCATATGGGCTCCTATGCGGATGCCTCGATATTGCCTGCAATAACACTATAGATTTTTCTCTGAAACAGCGAACATCTTTTGACTTTAGGCCTTACGATTATTGACATGTGACACTTAAATGTTATGTTTAGTTTGGACGGATAAACTGGTGTATAACATTGTTCTTGCTAGCTGACTTGCATATAATTATTTGTTCCCTTTATAATTGAAGAATAAGATATTGTATAACACTGAAGAAGTCGTTAGTTGGTTGAAGGCAATCGGTAGTAGGCGCTGGTTTGAGATAGATCTCATGCTTGTTGGCATTTGTCAGCCAGGCTTATTTCGGCCTTGACGGAACTGATGTCCCTTGTGGAATTCGAACCAGCGCCATCCAGTTCTGCAGTCGGACACGTGACCACTGAGCCATCCAGGCTAAGACTAGTCTTCTTTAGCACTGGATTAGACATATTCTCTGGTGCCTGCAGAGTAACCAGTTTCATGCTGCCTAGTCCTGAGTGCTGACTAAACTATATGGATCATTTTTGTAGTGTCACTACTAAGCTGGGAGACTGACTATCACGGTGCTCCTTGCTATGTGTCATTAGGCTTCGGGACAAACGGCAGGAAGTCCCCGATCGATAACTGCTACATTGGTCTAGCTTTATATCACAATGACCCAGCGAGCTACACTGACTGGAACGCTCGTTCCTTGATGTCCTACCAATACCGGAAAGATATGCTGGGTAGTGGTAAGATGAAAAGCAGTTACCATCGTAGTGTGAACTGCTACGCCATGATGAGGGTTCAAGGGTAAAGTCGTACTGCTGGCTTGAAAGGGGTGTGACAACAATCAGGTTTTTCGCCTGGATGACCAGGAGTAGTGTGCTGATACTGCTCCCCTCCCCTATGGGTAGGAGTTTAGAAAAGGTTGATCCTCAAAATAACACACCCCCCAGTGCCCCATAGTCTTCCTTTACCGGCGGTATATGTTCTTCTAATTCGGTATTAGAGCAACGAAATCTCAAACCATCAATCTCCGGAAGGGCTGTGTGACAGGCCTCAAACAGATGTCTCATGGGCTCTGTGGTCATATAAATCTTTTCCTTTTTCTCTCTCAGCTACCCTGCAGAAACAACTTACATGGTATGGGCAGCTGGGAAGTGTCAACCTCTGTAGTCATGGTCCAAGGATGACCGGGTCGCGATGTACTACTCCATTGCTATCTGCAAGATTTTGGATAATCATTGAGGCATATCCCACACACATATCTGCCTGTTGGGAGGTAAGTACGGTCAACGGGCCGATCATCCAGATAACGTGGATACATTGAAGCGTAACAGTTGGAGAGGAGGGATTCACTGGTGGAATAGAGCATCAACCGGAGTGCTCTAGCAGGGATGTTCGTTTTCATTTGATTGCGTTACGAAGAGATGTCTCATGCTCGGTGAGTGAACTGATCCCCGGATTTCAATCAAACGAATCCCCAACCTGGAGTTGGAAGCTGAACCGAAAATTAGAGTAAAATATGAATGCCACATATTAAAAATGTAAAATGGACCAATCAGCTTTAGTACCTTAAACCGCGGTAAAAATAAGTAACATTTGCGTGGGGAGAAAAAGGCAGGAAAATAAGGTTTAAATTTTCCAATGAGAATATATACATATTATCAGTCAGTTTCTTAGGGATCCATAGATCCCTAATAGATAGTCACTTCAAAATAAAACAACCATCAGGACAATTACTTCAACCAACGAAATGAATCACTCTCATTTATAAAAGATGCCTCAGAAACTAAACAGTTTACTGTATCCATTGAGCATCATCGTGTTATAAAAGCGAACGATATCCGAACAGAATGTCTTATACTTAAAGAAGATAAGACGAATATAAATTAAAATTAGTCGCAAAAACTGTTAACATCACACTATACGTGTTGGTCAAGTTCACTCATTGAGTAGCCGAAGGAGGAATTTGTGAGCACTAGTTACCAATTAAACAACGTGAGATATGCCATCATTGATACTGATGCATGTAGGTAAACACAATCACAACAGAAAATACTACCATGCCTAAACTCAAAAAAACTGCAAGAGAGAATCCTGGGAGCATGATACTTTAGTTGATGGTAATTAAAAGGTAAGTGAACATAGACCGAGTATGTGGACTACTCGGAAGGGTTCTACCAACAGGAAATAATTCAAATAAATCAGTATTCAATCATTAGGTAACGTGGTTACAATAGTTACAGATGTTAACCTCACAAGACAATAACGCTCGAAGTCGACAAATATCCAACATAAGCGAACTATTCAAAAATGCCTTACTTATTTTATGAAGTAAGTTTCGATAAAGTCACCTAACGTCTTGATGAAACGTATAAGAACAAATTCAAAAGCTCTGAAATCAGTAAACAGTTATCACAATAGTATGGTGTATGCTCTATAGTCTTTACCTGTTGCTTATCCGTATCACTGCGATTTTTTTCCTGTGTTTTTCAGGTGTAAAACTGGCTCTTGATGCATAGACAACTTGACGGATCAAGTATATGCTAATTAAATGTCTCTTGTGTATAGATTCATTTTGAAGTACTTATTTTCCTCTATGGTTTTATCAGAAGAGGTGGAGTACACATCACATTGTTCATCCTCAGACATTATGAATTTATACATCTGCATAGTATCTGTAATTATTTATACTTATACAGCTGATTTCCACTATTCATTCACTTGTTTCTGCGTGTCTTTTAGCTTTGTTTTGTTTTTTAATTTTAATATACTGTTGTGACCACATCTATTTTTGAAGCACCTTACTTTCTTCGTTGTCTTTCAAACAAGTAGCTTCGAACTGCTTTTTATTGCAGTCATTTGAGTTTTACTACTTGTTATTTGAAAGTAGTGTGATGATATATTTTTGAAAACAACCTATTCTACTCGTTGAGATGCATAGCATTTGAATTCAGAGTTTTATCACTGTTAATCTTTGTTGGCCTTTTGATATGATATTTGTTATTTACCCATATCAATATCCTTATACTGCGTGAAAATATACTGTGAGTATTTATCCACGAAGGACAGTGATAGCATGTAGTTGGTTTCTTTCTTATATAGTTTCGCAAGTCTGAAGCAAAGCATACTTTATCATGTGTATGGTGCATAAAAAAAAAGAAAAAGTGTTTTCAATAACTTCTTCAGGCTCTACAGTTATAAATACATGAGAATAAGTGAAATACAATAGCTGAAATAAGGCATGATGTACAATTTTACTTTATTGAGACAGCAGTGTTATATATGAGTGGATGGAGATCAAATCGAATGGAATGGTGGAACTGTTATCAGTCTAGTGTGTTAGTTGTGCAATGAAATCAATATTGACAGAACAATTACGAGATGAGGAGACAAAATCTATAGATTAATGATGGATCGTGGTTCGCAGTATCATATAAAAACAATTATACTACAATCTATAGATGATGATTAATTAATATACATTTATTGGAGTATGAATGTGTGTTTTTGTTGACTAAGGGTCAATAATAATAATTATGTAGTGATGAGTTATATTCAGGTGAGATGAAAATCATGTGAATACTATAAATAGAGAATAACAAATGTGACGTATTGCGTCACGGTTGATAATGACAACAGGTTGTGGTATGAATAAAGAATGGCGTAAAACTAATGACATAATAAAATGAATGTTTATCAATTTAATGACAATAGCCTCTTTCACCTACCTAGGCAGGCAGCATCGTTTCAACTACAGGTGGTACAGGCACAGATGAGGACATCCAAAACCAAGATCGGAAAAGCAGGACAAACCTTCATTAATCTGAAATCAGTGTAGAGATCTACTGCACTACACTCAGCACAAAGAAAAAGATACGGATCTTCAACGCCAATGTCAAGTCAGTCCTTCTGTATGGTTCAGAAACTTGGCGTGTTACGAAAAGCATTTCCAACAAACTACAGACATTCATCAACAACTGCCGACTGCGCTCGTTACTGAAGATCAGATGGCCAGAGTATTAAGAATAAGCAACAAGGAATTCTGGCTGGCTAGCAACGAACCAACCAAGAACCTATCGCTCAACAAATAGGCAGAAGGGATTGCAGACGGATTGGGCATGCACTGAGAAGACCATTCGGGGACATTACGCGCCAGGACTCGAGTGGAACCCAGATGGGAAACAGCGAGTTGGGCGTCCCAGCTGAGGGTAACATGGAGATCATGTGAGGAAGAAGTGAAAGGTTATTGGCAATCGTGACGTCAGGTTCAAAAGACTGCAGAGAAGAGAGTGCAATGGAGGCGTGTTTCTGAAGCCCTATGTTCCACTAGGAACCGAAGGGGAAAAAAAATAATAGTAGAAAGGGATGGGAGGTTAAGCACGTGCAATTTGTGGTAGGAAAGTTCATAAAGAACTTGTTGACCCTGTTGTGGGCCAAGGTAAACAAAGTAGATGTACATATTTCTTTGAACACACATAGGTCCGGTTTTCTTGCGTTGATCCCTACGGCTTCGGCTGTGGATATGATGTGAGGTCGTGCACCTTTAGGGAGACTGCAAAGGACACGGTATATCACAGAAAAGGTGTGATCTACCTTAATCTGATGCTCAGCATCTACTAGTTGTGAGACGATTGTTCTGTTGATGCTGTTTGTCATTCCTTTCCTTAACCAAGGTGACATGTGTTCACGAAAGCGCATAGATAGAGCCCTTTAAGTACGGCCTATGTAACTAGCTCCACAGGAGCAGTTGAACTCATAAATCCAAACACATTCATGCCCCAATAAATGTATATTAATTAGTCACTAATCTATAGATTTTGTCTCCTCATCTCGTAATTGTTCTGTCAATATTGATTTCATTGCACAACTAACACACTAGACTGATAACAGTTCCACCATTCCATTCGATTTGATCTCCATCCACTCATATATAACACTGCTGTCTCAATAAAGTAAAATTGTACATCATGCCTTATTTCAGCTATTGTATTTCACTTATTCTCATGTATTTATAACTGTAGAGCCTGAAGAAGTTATTGAAACAATTGTTCGTTCAAATTATTCTTGTTCTGAATAATCCATGGGGATCTTTAAATTATTAAGAAGTGTTTTAAATATGTATAGTGATGATGGGCAGTGGCTAGCAGTGGAATCTAAGATGCGCATTTCGTCCTATTTGGGACTCGTCAGCTGGATGTACCTACTCATCATTACTATACATAATTGAAACAGGCAATATCAAGGCATCCGCACAGGAGCCAATATGTCAACAGAGACTGATCATTTCGGTCGAATCAATGACGGTGTAATACATGCAATAACACTAAGAAGTGTTTTGTTGAAATTTTGAAAAGCAAATGATTTGTCCAATTATGAAAGTTGATTATTGAGATTGTAGAGTTTGTAATTATAGGCGTTCGACATATTTGCTTAACACAACTGTTCATCGAATGACTACCAGGAATCAAATAACTTTAGAGGACAATTTGGATGCAGTTGTTTTTGATTAATAATTAGAAAACCATAGTTGTATTCTGTAAATCTCAATCATATACTTTCCAGTCACCATATACACTCAGTAAAAAGATAACTAGGAATGATCTACTGTAGTGATGTCTGAAAGTGATATTGATGTACGATAGAACACCTTGATTGTACAAGAGTGCTAATAACGCAGTGAGACACTTGGATTGGATATGAGCAGTGATTGTTCTCCCTTCTGAGCCGCGAAAATCAAAAGACAAAGGCCGATTTGTGACTGTAAGGGAGACACTTTATTTGATAAAAAACACACTATTGATATACAGTTTTTCTCAGAATATAACACCACTAGGTCAGAAAATGGATACTTATTTTCGTTGGTCAGCTGTAATGTGAAATTGTCCAATAGGGTTTTTCTTGCTGATACAGAAACGTGAAACAAGGTAGAACTCCAAAACTCCTACCTTAAGGGCTTATGACTTAGAATGTTGGTTTCAATTTAGGCCGCTTCTAATCATACTCTTCGATAAATCAGATCAATGCAAGTGCTGCTTGAGAATCACTTTCGAAATATGGGTTAACAGAATAAACAGCGATTTATCTAAGCTTTTGCAGATAAATGGTGAATGGACCAACCGTCTTCGTTAGTTTGGGAATCCTTAGTGAACCTGATAATTTCATAACTGGTAGAATGGATAGGCTGAACTATATATTTAGAAAAAAATTTGTAGTCTCATCAGAAAGCTATTCTCAATCCTGCCCTTCAAGAATTCTAAAAGGTGTTCGGAATTGTACAAGGAGGGTTGGTAAATGATTTAGCCATCTAGTCCTTAATTCTGATTGGAATCTATCGACTAAATTTTGCAATTCAGCCACTATCCCAATCGGGGTGACACTGCTGTGCACTATATTTCGGTGTTGGATGTTCGAATTTTCTATTTCAGCTTCACAAACACTGTGGTGGATGACCCATTGACAATGTCATTTTATAGAAACCTAATAATGCACGCTACTTCACCCTGATCGACATCAGTCAGAGTTCGAAGTAGGCTTATCTCTTCTCCCCTTCTTTTGGTTTGTAAGGATTGTTTGGTTTCAAGACAGTATTCATCACCGACTGACATCAATTGGAGAACCATTGGAAACCTAGGAGTACTGGACAGTCCTGAGTTCTATTCCTGGCGAGATCACAGATGTACATTGGTGAGGGGTCTTATCCTTGGACGAAACAGCTGTCCAGTGTCCATCTTTTAGCTTGTTCTTAATTGTTTTGGCTGAGTCAAGTGTTTGAAATAAGTATACAGCACCAGTCTCTGTCGTTGCCGTCCAATTGTTCAATATCATATTAGTCCAACTTAGACATAAATTAAGGTAATGAAGTGTTGTTAACTTACATTGACTGGTGTATATACACTGTGTCACCTGTTGCTTATGTGTGAAAAGTACTACTAATTCATAAAGAAATACAACATCCACGTATCTCAGGTCTAGAGGGGTCAACACTCACCTAAAGAAATCAGAAAGTTAAAAGTTATTTTGCTTAATTACTTGGTGAACACTTCTTCATTCAATATCTGTTTGTGGTCATAATTATCAGTCATGGGTATTTACTGTGAAATCCAAGCTAAATCTGATGGATCCATTCTAATTCTTTTATTGAAGGAATATTGATGGGTATCATAATTTCTTTATATGTTGTTGAGCACTAGTTATTATTATTACTTCTCCTTTGGGTTCCTAGTGGGACATAAGGCTTCACCAGCACGTCACCATTTCACTCTCTGCTCTTCTCTACAGTCTTTTTCTTTAACCTCGCTTCACCACTACCCACAAGCTGTCATTTCTTACTCACACCATCTCTTCCATGTCACCCTCACCTAAGACGCCCAACTCGTCGTTTCCCATGCGCTTCCACTCAACGGCCTAGACTGGCCTGATCTGACGCGTGATGTCACCAAATGGTCTCCTCAGTGTATCCCCAATCCAATCCCATCCCATGCAATACATCTCCACTTTATTCTACATATTTGTTGGGGGATGGGTTCTTGCCTCGTTCGTTCCTTGCCAAATTGAGTGCCTCGTTGCTTATTTTTTCTGACCATCTGATCTTCAGTAACGAGTGATCGTAGGCGGCAGCTGTTCATGTATATATGTCTGTAGTTTGTTGGGAATACTTTTCGTAAGGTGCCAATTTTCTGAACCATATAAAGTACTGACTTGACTGACATTAATGTTGAAAATCCGGATCTTGTTCATGCTTCATGCTGAGATGAGTGCAGTAGATCTCTACACTGATTTCAGATTAATGAAGGAGGGGCTGTCTTGCTGTCTTTCTTATCCTGGCTTTGACAGTTTTATCTGTGCCGTTGCCTGTAGTTGGAACGATGTTGCCTGCCTAGGTAGGTGAAAGAGACTACTTCCTTTAGGTTTCTCCCATTGATGGTGATTGGTGCCTCTTGTTGTTATTATTATTATTAGTTTGGTATCTTCATCATCTCTATCTTCTCTAGGTTCACCTGAAGGAAGTCTTGTCTTCGCTGCCCTACCTCTTCTGTCAACTTGTTGGTTTTTGCTTGTAGATCTTCCACGTTGTGAGACAAGGCATTAGACATACATCATCATGATAGGCGAAATCCAAATCTTCTAGGGTTTCTTCCTCAATCCAGTGTATCCCTCTCCATCTTCTCACAGCTCCTCACAGTTGTCTGTTGCATGGTGCAGCCCAGTCAAGTCGAGTCGAGTCGAGTCGAACACAATCAGGAAGATCATGGGTGATAGTAGGCGGCAACCTTGCTTTGTCTTGTCTTGTCTTCTCTTACTCCTGAATTCTCTTCACTTCAAAGACATCATTGAACCTTCCATTGTGAATCACTTGGCGTGTAGCGTCATGTAGCATATACCTGATGTTGAATGAGGTTGATAGAGGTTTGTGTCACTGAAACCGTAGTGTTGAAGCAGCAGCTGCCAAATTACTTGTCGGTCGACGCTGTCGGAGGTCTGTTCAAAGTGGATGAAGTTGAGGTAGAGTTGAGTTGACTTCCATTCTATGCTCTGTTCTATGATGATGCACAGCGTAGAGTATTCTTGCAATTTGGTGCACACATAATTTGTTATTCCTGAAGTCAGCCGGCCAGCCAGCCAACCAACCAGTCTATTCCGGTCGTAGTCCAGTTGAATACAGAGCACCTTTTAGTCTCTCCTGGATGATGTGGTTTAATATTTTGCTTGTTTCGGGTGGACGAGAGTGGAGCATGATTCTGTGCCAATTCTTGTAGTCTTAGGTCTCCCTTCTTTGAGAGTTTGATAAGGTAGCCCTTCTTCCAATCAATGGGCAGGTACCTTCCCTTCCTTCCTCCCAAACCTTCTGCAATATTGGTGTGAGCATGTCTGTTGATGTCTCTGAGTCTGAGTCTGTTTTCAGTGCTTCTGGAGGAATTCATTTGGTCCTGATGTTTTCCTGGATTCCAGCAACTTTATGGCAT